ATTGGGGCAACAAATTAAGGCAAAATTGCAAAGCTATAAAGTGAAAACTAAAAAAGTCTTAGCAGAAAAAAATAATTTAAGTACATAGATAAGTCATTCAATGAATTAGATATGAACATATTTTTTTAAACCAGGCTGTGACTGGACAGAAATTCCTTTAAAACTACCATACACAAGTTCTCAGAGGGTAAACCAAAGGCCTTTTCAGTCTTTCTTTGTGACTCTAAAAGACAGGGAAGTGGAATGAATGAGCGGTTTTGAAAGTTGCATCCATAAATCTTTCTCATTTTTATCTATATGAAATGGAAGAAAAAAAGAATATGTATTTAGACATGTACATAGACTCACCATTAAAATGACACCCATATAAAGCAAAAATCTCTCTTTTGAAAATGTTACTTGCAACTCTATGGGATTATATATTGCTTAATGTCAAACAAGAAATCTATGCAGTCAGAATTAAAAATGTACTACTGCTCTTTTTCAAAGTCTCAACCAGCATCCCATCTATCTCAAGCAGCAAGAATAAAATGCATTAACGTTTTGATGGTGCTCAAATACAGTCTAGAATTACTGAAATATTTAGGAGGCCGCTAACTTCTCAGTCCCTTTATATACTACTGGGAACTTCTCACTACAAAACATTGTATGCGGAAGTAATGTTGCAAAGTAAGTGATGATACAGACTGTTAAAAAAATTGAAACCATAATTTCAGATGACATAATAACAAGATTAATGAAGGACCAGAATTAATCTGCTTAGAAGGGGAAACGCAGCCAAAATAATATTTTTGGTAGCATACTTTTCATCCTTAGTATTTTTCCACAGTTAGTGTTTGGGAAGAGCAAGATGCTTTAAAGGTCTTGCCATCTGCTGCTGATTCCATGTACTCACAAACTTTTCTTTACTCTTTACAGTGCAGCACTTTTTTTCATTTTACCGTCTACCACTTAGCACAGCAACCTGCTGTTTGCATTTCCCTCTCACTGCTGAGATCTGAAAAGCAACATTTACCAGCTTTGTAAATTCTGCCAGCTTGTGTCAGACTTTCGAACTGGCCATATGTCAATATATAGATAGGGACCTCGTGTGGCAGGACCTCCCATGGGAAGGGGAATCACATCTCTTACCCTAACTCTGGGCTTGGGGGTGATGTGGTTGGATTACCCCAGCCCTGGTTGTCCCCAGGGACCTCTCTACAAGCAGCTGCAGAGATGTACAGTTGCGGCACTCATGGGGTACCGAGCTCCCACCATAAAGCCCACCACTCCAGCCACTGCTTTTCAGGAAGGGATATATTCTTAGGCTGTATTAGCACAGCTATGGAGCCTGTGAGCCAGCACTAGCTCGCTGTGGACCGGAGGGCATGGGCCGGCTGCTCCCACTGTAGCACACACAGACACCTCCTGGGGCACGGTGACATTGAGCTGTAGAAGGTAACACTGTTCTAGGATTAGATCTAAAACCAGAACCTGTTTATATTTCGCATCTCTTTCAATCAGATCAATGATGCTAGAGGTCTTATGAGGAGGAATTGAAGTAAATTTGATTTTGTAGGATTACAGAGCAAAATTATCACCCTCATTTCAAAAGTAATCCTCATTTATACTCAGATCCAAATTCTGAATCCAGTCTTGGACATTACTTCTTCAGCTGAGCTTTGTTCTTAATACCAGTCCTCAACTGGTTTCCATTTTCTTATCCCAATTTGCCAGTGAGCAGAAAGCCTACTTTCACACGGCCTGCTTTATCTTTTTTTATTCTACCCCAACTGTAACCATGCAAAGTCACAGCACCAACACGAGAAGTCAGTGAGCACCATGGGAACTCAGTGCAGAAGGGCTCACTGTGGCTTATCATCAAACTGTTGGCCCTTTGCCAGTCCAGTATAAGCTAGCAGTAAATTCCAGGCTTTGCAGCCTGAACCAGTGGTTGAAGTTTTAAGCCCTCAGTCACTGTCTTAGGTGCACCTTTCCTCCAGTATTTATTTCTTAATATGGCAAGCTGGCTTTGTACTCCTCATTTGATGTTTTTTCCTTTGCTTCATCTCTTTCCATTTCTGCAGGGAACACCCACAGCCTGATCTCGCAGACTTCCTTTTCCTTTCCAAAGGACTGCAAGATAACAGCTATGTTTACAGAAAGTTCGGCTCTAACTACTTGAACTGCCTAACTGCCTTAATTACTTTAACTTTGAACTGGTTTTACTCTACACACTCATCCTCAAACAGATTTCTACCTCAGAAGAGTTAGTGCAGTTAAGTATTTAAGTGCTTTGTCCTGGCTGAGAACACTACTGCTGAAGATTTAAAGAGATCATGTAAACAGCTGTGTAATTCTGAACAGGTCACTTTAACAGCATTATTTGCAGTTACTTGCTGGGTCATTTTACATATGTTTTATTGGTATGTGCCTCAGAAAAATGTGCTTGAAGACTATTTAAAAAATGTTTTGCCAAAGAAATGTGAAAATGCTTCCCATATCATATTTTTGCCTTGGAAAGGTTATACTCCCACTACAGAACTCCTTTTAGTTTGCTAAAAATAGTCTTTTCAAGAGACTGTGTGCTTTAAAGTTTGTTCCAATCTTTCCAAGTATTTTTATTTCTCTCAGTAAGTCTCTTTTGAAGTACAACCTGCAGAGAAATAGTGTCTTTTTCCTTACTTTGATGTTTAATTTCTCACTCCATATTTTTGTTGAATCCCCCGTACTTAACAATGATGGTTCGACTGTTCTAAAGCATTTGTAAATAAGGGAATCATGAGGAACAAGACCCAGAAAACCAGATATCTGGCATATACATGAAAATCCAGAGAAAATAAAGTACAAATACCACCTGAAGAAGAACATAAAGTGAACAAAAATGTGATTTTGCAACCTGGTCTCATTCTTTTGATGAGACAGTGCATTTTAATACAGAGATTGAAAAGCTGCTTGTCTCATGGTTTTCTTTCAGCTGCCCTCACTATCTCCAATGGATCCTCTACCCCAGCTCACCTCCTCCAGAGAAGGAGCTTTGTTGTACATCATCCTGATGTGAGACTCCAAAATACACTTTACTTCAGGAAGAAATTTAGTTTCCACTCTTTTATGAGCTAATGGGAGCTGGCTGGCTTTTAGTAATGTCACCTGCTTCTGCTTTAAACCTTGGCAGATCATGGTGTATGTGTGTGTTGTGCACATGTGCGCTTTATAGCCCTACCAGCAACAGCAAATGCAGAGAGGTCCCCTCTCTGTTTCTGTGACAGCCATCAGTTCCTCTATGACAAGCATTTCGGAATGATAACATAACTTCTGTCCCTCCATTTCGGCCAGATGTAACGTAGGTATTTTTGATGTGGTTAATGTGAGCAGGATCATAGCTCACCTGGTAACAGCCACGTGCACTTTGAACTAAGATACTCCTGTATAACCAGCATATACTGGTGCCTTAGTTCACTGTATAGAAAGCCTGCTGTTTCCCAGTTCTGCAGTCAGCAGTTAAACATAATGCTCACATTTAGCTGATGCTGCTGGTAATTCTCAAGCAATCAGAAAGTATGCCAGGCATATTTTTGTTTCCTAAAATGAGCCAATGGAAATGAATCTCAGTTCAATTAGTTGATACCCTGATCTCTCCTCTTAAAACAAATGACTACCTAGCAAACAGTTCTTTGTTATGAAGTGTGGTTAATTTTTGCCATTGGGCAAGGCCAAGCCTATCTTCACTGGCAACACTTCATAGCTGAAAATCATAAAGGATAAAAGGGATCATTCACCATGACCTGAGCAGGTATTAGTCTGAGCTAACGCAGGATCTATGAACTACCACCTCCTTTACAGTGACTCAGCAGGCTGGACGTCCTATGGATTTCTCTTTGAGCTTCTCCAGGAAATCTGACTTGCCCATGGGGGCAAAAATACATCTTTAGAAACCTGTGTATTGCCACTAAATTTCCTCCTAGATCTTTCTTGTCTGACAGTAGTGTGAATGACTACTCAATAAAAGGGAAATTTCCATCAAAGAGGGCAAAAGTACCCACTCTGATTTTATCTTTTTAAATTTTATTATTAGATTTGTAGGTAGTCAGGAAAATGTTCCTCTCATTTTCCTTTCTTACAGTTCTTCTCTGCTACCACTGAGTCTTCCTTTTGCAGAAAATCCTGCAGCTTATCCCTAATATTACCATTTTAAGGTTAAAAATATCTAAGATAATTATGGAGATGCTGAGGAGATTCAGATGGCAGGAGTAAGAATATAAAAGTTTAAGATCTGTATGAGATGGTTAAGACTTATGCTCCCAGAAAAAAAAGAAAAAAAGTGAGGGAATATATGATTCGAAGTTTGTTAAAACTGGATCATTTTCTGTTGTTTGCTGCATTCTCTGGCAAGAGTAGAAGAAATCAGCTTAAGCTGCAGCAAACAAAAAGAAACTTTTAAATTATTCTAATGGCAAAACACCTCATAGGCTACTAGGAATAGAGGAATTTTAATTTCAGCTTAGCAACTGACTTTAAGGTCAGTTTAGGTCAGGGGTGGCAGCCTCTTACAGGTGGTATCCCATTTTGTGTTCTCTGTCCTCAACTCAGATATAAAACTAATACCCATGTGAATTAATTCTGTAGTTCTGATGACCCTTTGTGGTAAACTTATCACTGTGGGTTTACCAAGGCCATTGGCAAAATTCTTATCTCACTGAATATCACATTTTTTGTGTTCTGTTGAATGTGGTTTTTTTCCCAGCCTGATGTAGCACTATGCTACAGAGGTAGAAACTGATGTCTCCTCTCAAGGCCATCCTCTGTGAGCTACTAGTTGATATGACATTATAGGTAAGGAAAAGGCGGTATTTCACCCAAAGGAAGCATGGGTGTGATTGTAGAGATGATTGGGTTTTGATAAGACAATCACGATATAGCAGAAATGTAGGTAATCGTTCTGGAGCAAACTGATAGAGGAGGAGGGAAAAGGTAAGACCATTGAAGCTGATGAAGCTCTAGAGAATATAAACCTTATTTACCTGTGCAATCATGTCTGCTGTTTCAGAATAACTGCGGCACTTTTTCACAGCTGAACGAGCTAAAAAATCATCAATCAGCCTTATGCCAATGCCATAGCCCCTAAGGAGAGAACAAAGAATGTTAACATTCAAAATGGGGAACTTCTTTCCACCTACCATCTCCCTAATCTGTCCCTTGTTCTTTCTCAGCAAAACAGCTGCATGCTCTTAAATGAATGGCTTTGAGGACAACAGATTTTGCTGGTCTAGATTCTTCTTTCTACCACAGTTTGCAGCACAGTGGAATTGCTGTTCATGTAGTCATTTAAGGAATCACGCTCCTTTAAGCATGATACCCCTGGCAAAGATGATATGAAAGTTGTTTATATACACATTGTCTCTACATACATTTATATTTACATATATGAATAAATATTAGATGTTAGATATTTGAGTATAATATATAAACAATATACAAATAATACACCTGGTTAATACTACTTTGTCACTAAAAATAGGATAGGATAACATAGCACAGGATTTTCTCCATTCCTCTGTCATCCCCAGAGTTCATCTCACACCGTCTCTGTCAAGGAGAACAAAGCAACTGCCCCTTCAGTTCAGAGCATTCCCCTCTGGACTGGTATGGAGTTCAGCAAATCCTGGGCACCCTCATTGCAGCGTTCAGATGCCAGGAAAACCCATAGGAAATGGACTTACACCTGATCTCTTTCACTTTATTCTCTTATCTCTTCATCTCATTTTTTGCACTCCCTCCACAAATCCCTCTCTGTCTTTTTTTTTAACATGTTCTCTTCCTTCATCTACTAGTTGCAGAAAAAAATCCAAAAGTTGCTAGTTAATATACAGTTTCAGTACACCACCACCTTCATTTTGTACTTATAACACTACAATTTCAGAGAAATGAAATAAAAAAGGATGGAAGTTAATAGAAATTTTACAAAACAAATATTCATGCCTAGCTCACACACATTAACAAAGGTCAGTAACTAACTACATAGTGTGCAAAATAGCTATGTCTCCAAGCGTTTTTTGAAAAAGGGAAAGAGATTGACACAAATGTTATGAAAGAATGTGAACTCAACTCAGAAATGTTTTTAGGGAATTTTTCATTTGCATTTCTGTGGATGTTGGCAGTCTCTGCCTGTTTGTCAGAGGCCCTACACCCTCAGCGAAGCAGTCTGAACTCCATGGAGTTTCTTACTGATTTTGTACCACATCTTTGACAAGAAGCCAAAAAGTGATCTGATGTCTAATGTGATGACAAGACCAAAAAGTGGTTTTGGCAGCATGAAGTTTAAAATTGCAATATGTCATGCAACAGAAAACAATGAAATATTTATTTATTTATTTATTTATTGCCTCAGTATCAATATCAATAATGTTGGTAAATACGTCATCAGCAGTTAGCAAGGTATTTATTGGTGATGTACATGACTACTTAGATCCTTTTTCAACTCTTATGCCTTAGATTTGCAAAGTCAAATGAATAATAAATTCACAAGCAGCTATTTGGCAACTGTACAGTGAAAAACACCCTTCTCACTACAGATTATATATATATACATATAGAAAGAGAGACCTAAGAATACTGTTCCCAACTGTCACAGGTTTGCTAATCTATAAGATTTCTTCCTCCAGCTGAGCTGTTTTCATCTTCACAGAAGTAAAGATGGCCATATTGCTTTAATGAAACCTGTCACTATTTTATCAAATCTTTATCAAGAGAAAAACGAAAAGATTTTATAAAAACGGCTATAATAATAAAAACACAAGGAGCAAAGCATGTCTCCACGTCTTCCAAAACTACCCTTTAGTAATTTCTACCATAGCATCAGAAAGACATCTGTATATTTTTTAAATGTATGATTTTCATCAGAGCTGAATGAGGGATTAATATCAAGTAAACACCCGAGGGATGTTGTCCCTTCTTAGTTAGTGAACAAATTCTTTTTCTTTTTTATCATCAAGGATATTTTTACTCACTTCCATTGATGGCTATTGAACTATAGCTTGTTTGCAAGCTTTCAGATTAATAGTAAAGTGGTTAGGTATTCTGTCCACTGTGATTGTTGTAAATCCGTTTTGCATGTCTGTTTTGCCTGAAAACACAGGACTTACTCTTCTGCTGAAGATCTTGGTATATCTTCTTGTTAACCACCTCAAAAGTAGTTTCTTGCTGATTTTCTGTGATATTATTATTTTTACTGTGATAATGCCTAGGAATCTCAGTCAGGACAACAGGATCCTATAAACATCGAAGCTTCATTTTCCAAAGAGGTTATCCATGTAACAATCAGTTCCTCGTTGACCATTTGTGCTACCTCACTCATTGCTGTACGGTCTTTTAAAGGTGAGAGGCCCATCTGCCCCAAACCCCGTGAAGGTGGGGGGGTGTCAGGGAAGAGAGCCCGAGACACCCGAATTACACCCTCGGCAAAGGTGATCGATTACAGAAGGAGTCTGCCTATTGACTTAGTCACCGAAGCCAAATCCCTACAGCCTAGAATTGTGACTACTTCTTAGCTGTCCAAGTCACAAACCCGGGGTGTAGCTAGAGGAGGGGGAGCCACGGGAAGGCCACAGAAATGCGTGTTCACTAGAAAACACCCCTGAGAAACAAAAAGCTTGTCTACTTTGAAATGACATGGGTACGAAGATATAGAATAGAAGAGGAGAGTTAACACGGAAGTTGAAAATTAATACATGGAAAGAGGAGCGAAATTTAGAAGCTTGTATTACTAATTAGCTTAACAAAGGACCAACAAGGAACAAGCGTAAGCTGTCAAAACAGCCCTGACGCTTTTCTTCTGAGAATTCAAAAGCTGATGGTTGATCTTCATTCGCAAATTAGTGTTATTTCTGTTGACAGAATATTGAACCTTTTCCCCATGATCTCTGTAATCCTAGACAGTGCTCGAACTCATAAGATAACAGACATAAAGCTGAAAGGTAACATACAGGTGGACAAACAGCATTATCAATAAAGTTGAACATTTAAAGCAGTACTTACATTCTATCTAAACAGGTGTTGACATCTTCATCTTTTTCATAGTCCTTGCACAGCTGGGCTACCAAAGCCCCATACGTGAGTACAAAAAGTTCTCTGCTCTGCCAGAAAAGGTGGAAATCAAAAATGAAGCGGACTAGAATCAAACTTTTTCACACTTTTGAGCTGCTACTGTATTAAAAGCAAGCAAAAATAACATTTACGTTAATCAAGAAACTTTTGTCCATGGACATGTAATCACTGAAATCCACAATTGAAGTGTGACAGAGTCTGACTTGATCATCACTTGAGTCTCTGCGCAGAGACTTTGCTTGTCAGAAATACCATTTCTTGGGATACAGCTAGTTTCATCAAGTACATTATTGCATCCTATAACAGCACATATGTATGTCGGATTGATAAATGCTGTCAAATGCCATCCAAGATTTATGACAAGTGTTTAGCTGCAGGAAGAATAATTGAAGCAATTAGCTGTTAGCCCTTTTACAATAGGAACAACAGTGTATATACTGAAATTCCAGTTCCTTCACAAAGGTACGGTTGATCTGATTCAGATCATAAGCTGCTTCCCACCCACCCACTCCCACCCCCAAATAAAAGATTTAAAAAAAATTAGCTCAGAATAATGAAAAAAACCCCTATCATTCAGCACAAGTGTAAAGAATAAAAAGCAAAGTAGAAAAGAATCAGTCCCATTGACATTTCCCCTTCTTTATCAAACTTTACAAGTAACTTGAATCACTATCAATACTAGCTCTCCAAATGCCTAGACAATCTCACTGTGACATTATTTCTGTATCTTAATACAGAAGATGTGGTTGGTATGGCTCCACCGCATGAGCAAGATGAAGGAGATGGGTGAGGATTACAGCCACCTGCCCAAGGAGCATGGAGAGCAACTGAGGAGATAAAAGGCATATCATGCACAGATCCTGTCACAAGTACCAATCTGGGATGGATCTTCAGCTGTGCGCCAACCTGGAGGAGAGTTTTCTTCCCTCCCTGCCCTGCCAGATCACCTCCATGGCATGGCAGAATTGACTGTCTTTAGTCAGAGCAGCAGCTGGCCTTTAGGGGAGAGACTAGGTTGACTCTCACTAAACTTCTTGGATAGGAATTAATTAAAGGAAGTGCCACAGGCCTGTGGCGTGTGGGCAGACTAGAGGTGATTTTGTTTACAGCCTGTGGAAAAATGATAGTGAATACCAATGAAAACAATAGAAAAAATCACACAAGGAAAGGAAGAAGAGCTTGGTGGAAAGACCTCTTCTTGATCCCATTGAATCAAAAGCTTGGAGTTTAATCAATGTTCCCATTTTAACAAGTCACTGTTCAAAATCTTAAGTAGTATGGAACCATTTCTTAAACTCATCTTGGTGATAAGTCCTGTTTACAATAACATTGCACACTTTGCCAAGCACTCTAATGGAGTATATGGATGTCATACAGGTTCTGTATTCTAGTCTCAGAAATAAGTCTGTGTTGTAATAAGAAAAATACCTTAGAGAAACTTAATCATACTATATCAACATAATTGCATTTACCAGCCACTCCTGCAATCCATTGGAGTATTTTTTCCCATAAACTTATGTATATTAACTTTAATTATATTATAGTCATCCTTTTTTTTTTTTTTTTAAGTGGAGATCTCTGTCCCCTTTTCAGAAATTGGCACAACATTGTGCTAAAGCTTTCTGGAACTTCTCCACTGCCCCAACTCCTAGCAAAAACCACTGTTAACCATCCAGACAGCCCTAAGGCTCTAAGTTCCTGAAGAAAGACTTCTGTGGAATTGAACCATCCAAACAAAGAACAGAGATCTCTATCTCTGTGTTTCATTTAATGACTGTCTAACCACAGAGGCACATAAACTTATCTGTCTTTGACAACAAATCTCTCTAAGCACTTAGACCTCTGTTTCTGAACAGACCCCAGTCTCAGAAACTTTGTGCCCATCTTTCCTAAGCCTGTTCAGAATCTCAGCACTAGGGATAAATTAAAAAAATGCAGTTAAGTGTCCAGTGAGCGAGACAGTCACTATGGTTTTGTTATCAGTCTTCTACAGTTGGCTATGTTCTATTTTCCTTTCTAGCAACTTCCTCTCTCTTCAATTTGTTATACATATGTATACTTACATACGTATGTCATAATTATAATTTTAAATACAAGCATATTCTCTTCAAGGCACAATACTATTATGGGGGGGGTGGGGGGGGACTTAAACCACTGTGGCCTTATTTCCACGTTATGGCACTCTGGTTTTTTGGACTTGTCGCATAACATTCCTAAATGGTTAGAAATTTTCAACCACAGATAGAGATTCTGAGGAAATTTGCTATTGAATTTTTCGTATTTAGACACACCACTGCCAGAGGACAAGAAGGAGAATAACTGGTATCTTTAATGGCACAAAATACTGCTTTTGTGACCATGCAGTTTAAGAAGGCCTCTTGGGAAAATCTTGCATGCAGTATATTTAAAACAACTGCTGGAGCTTTAGGAGAATATTAACATGAAGTGCAGAAAAAGAAGGAAGTTTTGGTCTAAGTAACTTCTACTTGATAGAATTCTGTGCTATGTGATCAATGGTCAAAGTCAACACTCAAAGACAACGGTTACAGTTTTACTATTGTTTCCTCAGGAATCAGATTTTGGCCTTAAAGCCAGATGTTGAGATCCTGTGATGGTGCACTCCCTGTGCATACTAAAAATGCAACATTGGGAGGATGAAGAAGGACCCCTGCTCATGCAACATAACCCCCAAAAGAAGACGTGGTCTGGTATGCAGGAGGCACACAGTGGGTACCAGGTACACTGCAGCCTCAGATGAACCGTCTCTTCCTGGAACGATTCATGGGGTAGAGATGTGGCTGGTGCAGCTTCTTTCCTCCAACGCAAGAATAGAGTTTTGGCCTCAAGGATTCATGTTGAAGGCAGGGCTGTCTGAAAATCATTTCATGTCATAGGCAAGGTAGCTGGAGAGAAATGAATGCTCCTAGAGCAAATCTCAGTGTTACTGCTCGGAGTCAAACAAACTCCCAAGTCCTATGGGCAAGGCTTTTTTTATGTCACTGCTTAATAGCTGGCAGCTTGTGGGCAGCTCACAAGGGGGTCCCACTGTAGCCATATATGCTGCCAGCGCCTCTGTTCTCATACTGGCAGACTCATCCCCATCCTTTCAGTACTTTCAGGCTATTTGGAAATATGACTGTACAGAACACATCAATACAATAATAGCTTATTCCTACTCCATGCACAATTTTAATTACACATTATAAAATATCTTACTATTTTGTGGTTCTCCTGCTTTCTTCCTGGTGGCCGAGACATGTTGCTTGTGTAACACTTGACGTACTTGATGGTCAGTTTATGTCTTTTCTTCCTCAAGCAGCATGGTTTTCTCTCAATCACTGTATTTCCTCTTTCCCTTCTCTAAAGTTTTCTCCTTTCTGCTCTTCTGCCTTTTGCAGGAGATGTGTTTGCTGCAGTCTGTAACGCTGCTGATGCTCCTCCTATTCTCTACGTCTACTGAGCCCTTTGGGAGGAATTTGACTGGCAACAGATCTGCCCCTGTACACAACATAAATAACCACTTCATCCATAAGAATGATTCATAATCAAATACACAGCAAACAGCCATGGGAAGTCAAACTGGGCAGCCCCAAGAGAGTCAAAGGTCTGACGTTTTTAGGGACAGCAGATTCATTCTGTTGTTTGTGTCAGGTTTTGGTGTTTGGAGAGTTAACAGAAGCTCCCTCTCTGAAGAATAAAACACAATTGCAAGACACTGCTGCACAAGGTAATTAAAATTTTATCACTTTCAACTTAAAGGAGCTATAGACTTCTGTCTGCTCTGACTGCTTTAGTCCAGTGAGTTAATGTCTGCCTGGGCAGGAGCAGTATGGGTTACAAGGCACTACTACCACCATGTTCCTGCGAAGCTGGCAGGACACACCTGGAGTGCTCGGATTCCCAGAGGAATAAACTGTGTACCTGCTACAGCTGCCAGCTTGTGCAAATGGCACTTTCATTAATGATGTTCCTAGAGGATATTCTATCATTCTTAACCTATTATAACCCCTTTTTGTAAACATCCCTGCTATGAACATCCAGAAGGGTTCGGCTTACTTTTTCAGTTTTCCCCCAAGGCAAATTTGGCCTATTAGTTTAGATTCACAATAAATTTAGATGATGGTCACTAGTGAATTTAGAATTGAATCAGGTAGCTGTCTTTCCTCATAGGACTTATCTCCACATATATTCCCACTAAGTCCTCTCAGGAAAGGAAGTAAAAATACATGGCCTCATCTGATTGCCGTGCTGTTATTAAATTTCAATTAATTAATAGATTCGGTGCCAGAGTAAAATTACAGGTATTTACTACTCCAGGTACACAGAAAGCAGGAGATGTGATTCATTTGGGATACAAAGGATTAATTTGCTTTGAAAAATGGTAATTTAAAGTTATGACACAATTCAACAACAAAAAAGAGGACAGATAAAAGGATTTTCAGCTTTTTCTGTGGGAAACATAGTCATCCTAACAGCTTTCATTTTACACAGAACGAGCTGGTGTTGACAGCTTTACAATATAATAAGCCTCTTCCATTTTCTTCTAGGCACTTTTCTGGCCCTGTAAAATCCAACTCCATTTTATAAGTGAAATTATTGTAGGTACTTCCCATATCTAAATTTAAATAAATTATAAAAGTCAGGCATTATAATTCTCTAGATAGTTACTTGCATTTCTAAATTCAGTCTGAGATGGGTTTGTTTCTCAGATTGTCTCCAACTAGTGACAAGCACCAAATATGTCTCCCATTGCAAGAGACATCCCATATTCCATAAGAAAGTGTACTGCATTGCGTTTTCAAAAAACAGCTCTAAAAGATTACCATTAGCATCATGTAACTGCAGTGAAACCATTACAAAGCACTTAAGGCTACCCAGAAATGAGCACCATTTTATTTATCCAGTTCTGAATATAAGGATGAATTACTTCAGCCTGCATTATTAATACTACAATCATGAAGGAACACTGTGGACCAGATAGTGCAATGCTTGGTGAGAACACATCAGCATTGTTTGGAAAATACATGCATGCACACGTATATACATGTAAATTCATGCATATAATATGATGTATTAGGTAGAATGTACTACATTTTGAAAGGTTTGCACATGATTGAGAAAATGAAGCTGAAATGGTGTATCCAAATAAACTGGGGATTCAGTGGCTCCAGTGAGGGAAACAAGTCAATGGTGGACTGCATCCACATCTTCAGGAACAGAACAAAACCACCTTCTTAACTGTCATCTGACTTGCAGCCCTGTGGAAAGAGTAGAGGTTGGCATGTATCTGGCACCCATTTTAAACCTTAACGTATACTTCTCACAAATAATACAAGGCAACTTGAATAGTGAGGAAGTTAGCATTGCCCTCCATCTCCCTTTCTGTCGTGTTTGTCAGTGTCCGGGTTTTGGCTGGGATAAAGTTAATTATCTTTCTAGTAGCTGGTATCGTGTTATGTTTTGGATTCAGTATGAGTAGAATGTTGATAACACACTGATGTTTTCAGTTGTTGCTAAGTAGTGTTTAGACTAAGTCAAGGAATTTTCAGCTTCTCACGCCCAGCCAGCAAGGCTGGAGGGGCACAAGAAGTTGGGAGGGGACACAGCCAGGGCAGCTGACCCAAACTGGCCAAAGGGGTATTCCAGACCATATGGTGTCATGCCTAGTATATAAACTGGGGGGAGTTGGCCTGGGTGGAGGGATCGCTGCTCGGGAACTAACTGGGCATCGGTCAGCGAGTGGTGAGCAATTGCATTGTGCATCACTTGTTTTGTATATTCCAATCCTTTTACTATTATTAGTATTGTCATTTTATTATTGTTATCATCATCATTATTAGTTTCTTCCTTTCTGTTCTATTAAACTGTTCTTATCTCAACCCATGAGTTTTACTTTTTTTTTCCCCGATTCTCTCCCCCATCTCAGTGGGTGAGAGGGAAGTGAGTGAGAGGCTGCGTGGTGCTTAGTTGCTGTCTGGGGTTAAACCACGACAGTCAGGAGAGGATTTTAGCCTTCAGCCCCAGGAAGGTTGTGCTGGCACAGTGCTTGAGCATTAGACTACACCAGTTCTCTTCATTTCCATTAAACTGAAAAAAAACCCCAACTATAAAATAACTCCTGTAGAGCTCAGTACATGATCTTTTTAGTAGTCTAGTATCTAAGGATTCTCCCAAACTTGAATATCCCAGAGCAGAATGCAGTATAAAGCCCACTAATGGATTATGTGTCAAATGCCCCCCAAAATATCTAAAAAAGTTCTTTGAGCAAAACCAAGAATACACTTGCCACAAAAGATGGGTGTCCAAATTAGTACAATACAGGATCAGGCTTTTGTTTCCTCTCTGTCTCCAGCTCAATAGATCTTGCGTTAAATATTTAACTCACAGAAAATTGAATTCTTTCAAATCACAGGAAGGTAGATGATTGGGGTTTGAAGCTACATGGAAAAAAAGTACTTGAACACAGGTTTCCCACATCACAAATGAGTGCTTTTACTCAAATCCCAGTGTGGCTGCTGCTTTGGCCATGTTTCAGAATAAAGCAGTGACATTGCTGCTACCTCGCCTGTAGTGCCCTTCCTGGGAAGCATTTCCAGCGTGACCCTGCTGAAACTTCCTTGGTTAGGTTAGGCATCTCAGGAACTGTTTTCAAAAGGGTGGGTTTGGATTCAGGTGCTTACTTTCTGCTGAAACTCACTGCAAGCACCTAAAATCTCATATACATTTGCCTATAAAGCACAGCTGAATTCTGAAGCAAAAGATGTAAGTTTAAAAGAATCAACAGGTTTTTATTCTTGCTTTAACATAAAGTTTATTGCTAATTTTCTCATCAGTGCTTGTTCTGGTTAAGGGGAGAGGAACTTCGCTCTTAACCAGGCCACAGAGACCATGAAAATGACTTGGCAGCCCGAAGCCAACCTGCGACCAGGCAGAACGCAGGACATGGGCAGTGCTCCCCTGGGCTCCCACAGGAAATCTGTCCTGCGGGTATTTTCATAGCACGCTTTCCAACATGCACAGGCAGGCTTGACATCCATGCAAAATATAACTCAAAATGCAGCTAGAGGAGGCACAGAATGTCAGCCTTTTGACTGCTAACTCAGTGATGAAAACATTTGGGCAGGACCGGAGAGACCAGGATTCAGTCTCCTCTTCCAAACTTTACAGGAAGCAACTTTCAGATGGAAAATAGAAGAACACTTCCCTCTTTCTCTCTACCTTTTCCTGGACATTAGATAACAAAATACTCATCTTTTTCTGATCCAATAAATATCAAAATCCTCTCTGTGGGGGAACTAAGTGCAACTGGCAGAACTATGGCAGGAAAGCTGGAGAATACAGCTTCTTCCTACCACAGTCACACCACATCACTAATGATAACTAACGGAGCTCTTGGAATAAAGAGATGAGTGAGCAAGTTTTGACTAGATCAGGTGGAGAAGGGAACTGAAACCCATCTCCCCCTTCTGCCATGGCTGCTTCATTTCAATAAAAAGCAAAGACAATAAAAACTGTTTGCTTGTGTATGGGAGGATAGGAAGGTGCAATATGTCTTCCAATAAATGACAAACCATTCTCAGTTCTTAAAAAAAATCGGTTATTCTCATAAGTGAGGCTCCTGGCAGTGAATTCAAGCTGACAAGACTTCTGCAAAATGACAAGCAAAATCATGGCTAAGGTTTGCCCGTGTATCCTATTTGCCTCACAGGCAAGCTGGCTGTCACCTCAGGTAGGGGTATTTTGGATTGCATTCAGTCCTAACTCTTCCTGGGCATTGGATAAAGAGCCTAAATGTCTGCCTCAGGACTCCGGGTTCTTCTGCAAAGGCGACTACTTAAAGGTTTGACATGCCGCCCAAGCTCTTAATTGGATCCAACCCTGTAATTTGTTCCATAATAGGATGACCCAGCAAGATTATTTACAGCACAGCATGAAAGCAAATGCCAAAGTAACAATGCAGCAGTACAAAGTTGTTGTATTGATTGTATAAATTGCCTCATTCAACAGCCTTAGGCTGACTATGAATATTTCAGTGTTGTGCATCTCTTCAGTTTCACATCTAATGTGTTTCTTGAGTAAACAAGTGATGCTTGGAAAAGACTTCCTCTGTTATAAACAAAATAAGACATGGATTTCCAAAGAAAGCTCAGCAGCAATCAGAGATTTTAAAATTAACTAAGGCATAAAACACATCTTCAAAATAATTCTGTAATACCTGATATGTTTATTCCACTGAATTTAAAGGAGGTAAATTTTCT